ACCCATACGGAAACTCTGCTCATGAGCAGGAAGCTGGAAGCCGCCATAGGCCAGGGCTAGACAAACATCAAGCAAAGGAGGGCCGGGGTTGGCTTTGGTGAACATTGATCTGATCAACCATTTCAGACACACACACGCATCTTCGCTTCTAGACCTGCAGTCAAATTTTGTAGGGCATGCTCATATGTTCAGTTCGACCCTTTTTTTTTCCTATGTTAGATGACGGAATGAATCCTTTCGAGGGCATACTTTGAGTTCGAGGACTGTCAAAAGTTTTTCAAACAGATTACAATCATGGTAGATGAAATTATAGAGTTGCTGTAGCTGAAGTACGATCCTTGTCAGGAAATAATAGATTCTCTCTTTACATGCTCTTGCTTCGCCATGTTGTGATGTTGAAACCTCAAAAAATTCGCACTGCACCGAACGCCACCCCCTTTCAGACTCAAGTCTCGATCAGATGTGGCTGAAAGCATGAACCTCGGCACGATTTGAAACACGTTCAACGACGACGACAAGTGCAATTGAACGCGACAGCGACCTTCGAATCACCTCGCAGACATATGCTCCCTCTCAAACATAAGGAACGTTCAATCCGTTAGAGCATCGAAGTCATTATGACGGAAATCGCAAAGAAAAGCGTCCTAATTACGGGGTACGACCCTCTTCTCTCCCCACCACTATACCTCACATCCAACCAGACACAACTATCTAACAAACCCCACAGATGTTCCCCCGGTGGAATCGGGCACGCTCTTGCGCGAGAATTCCACTCGAAAGGTTGGCAAGCGCTCCATGTCCCACAAGAACACCACCCAAAACTTAGCTCTAACACCAAGCTTAGGGCTGCATGTCATAGCGACTGCTCGGGATAAGATCGTATTGGCAGACCTCGAAGAGCTAGGAATGACGACTCTGAGTCTCGATGTTACGAACACGGATAATATACGGGAAGCGAAAACTGAGGTGGAGAAATTGACGGGTGGGAGGTTGGATATTTTGGTTAATAATGCGTTTGCCTCCCCTTCTTCCGCTTTCCCTCTTCTCCCCGCTCTTTAGTCCAGGAGAAAGATGAATTGAGGCTGATTGGAGGTGTAAACAGTGGACGCAACTGCACAATGCCTGCCCTAGACGTCGACCTAAACGACGCACGCGCCTGCTTCGAAACAAATTTCTTCTCCATAATCACCATCACACAAACATTCACACCCCTCCTCATCGCCTCTAAAGGTCTTATCCTAAACATCGGTAGCGTAGCCGCTATCGTGCCTTATGTTTTCGGATCAGTCTACAACGCTTCTAAAGCGGCGCTACATGCGTTCTCGAATACGTTGAGATTGGAGTTGGAGCCGTTTGGGGTTAGGGTTTTGGTGGTTGTTACGGGGGGTGTGAAGAGTAGGATTGCGAGGACGGAGAGGGTGTTGCCGGAGGGGAGTTTGTATGTAGATATTGAGAGCAGTTTTGAGAGGAGGGTGAAGCATTCACAGGAAGGTGCGATGCTCGCGGAGGTTTATGCGAGAGGGGTGGTGAGAGAAGCGTTGAAGAGTGATTGGAGGCAGAAAAAGTGGATGTGGAGAGGGAACAAAAGTGCGTTGGTTTGGGGAGTTTGGAATTTCTTGGGAAATTGGGCTTTTGATATGGCGTTGCCGAGGATGTTTGGGTTGGATAGGCTGAGGAGAATTGTTAGGGGCAGGGCTTTGGGGAAAGCGAATTGAGGGATAGGAGCATGGCTTGTGTTTAAGTCTGAATTGACATCACGAAGATGATGGTAATGATGATGTCTGTACCAGTTGGGGATCCCATTGCTTTAACATCGTTTATTTATGTTTACCGATCTTGAGGGCCTCGAACGATCTGCACGCTTGATGACTTTCACAATTTCCTCGAGGACTTCGGTGAACCAGGGATGAAGGTACTGGAACAGAAATAGATCTTAGAGCCACGAGCAGCTTCGCAGGAAGCTTAATACATTTGCACGGAGAGCCGGTGCTGAGACTGAATGCAATGCCATGGCAAATATTGTGCGTGAGGTTCTAAGTCGCAAGCATGCCAACACTTCTCCATATCTCCGAATTGTAGTGCATAGCAGTAACAAAAACATGAATACCATGTTACAAAGGCTTTATCAGAGTTTCCAAGCTCAATTTCTAGCTCGCCAACCCGACTCCACCTCGCCAGGTGTAAAATTCCACTAGCACCTCTGCACTTCTCCTACTTCGGCCTCGCTTCGCAAAACGTCCATATAGATTTAAATAATAAATTTTTTCAGTATCAAATTCGGAACAGCAGCAACTTGGGCAGGTTGTCCGGTCAAGTTCGAATGAAGGGGTGAATTAAAACAAGTATCGCCTGGCCCGACTGATCGAGCAGTCAACTGCACACGCCAATTTCGGTGGACACTTCCGCACAAGGACGACAAAAAAATCCCACTCAACACCCAGGGCTTTTCAAGAGCCTTCGGGCTATTGTCTTTGATTCTTTTTGCTATCGCTAGCGCTTTCTGGTGATCTTTCTTGGTGTTTTGGTTTTTGAACGCGTTGATGTTTTTCGGGGCAAGGCTAAGCGAAGGGGCTCGAAAGGAGAAGTCGCGACCGTGAACCTTCTGAGCCTCAGTACGTCGCATTTGGAAACTGATTCCATGCACGACTCTCGAGCCCATTTCCCTCTCCTCTCGTGCTACTATCTCAAGCCATACTTCAGTGTACCACATCCCACCTAGCACGTGACTCAGGGGCGCTGGTTATCGCTTATCGCACAGGGCACAAACAAACTCACACCTCTCACCGTCAATTCTCACATCCTTCAGTCTGGAACCGCAGCTCGTGAAGATGTTACTACGACGAATCCCTCCACAGGGTGTATCCATTTCCCTCGCCTTTCTGGCGTTGAGCATCAGTTCTCCCCTTGCTTTTCAGTCCTCAACCCCCACTCTTTACTGCGTTTCCAACCCCGCAAACACTTTCGTCACAACTCTCGATGCGTCCCTTCCTCAAGCACAATGCTTTCGAGTTGAAAATGGAGTCTTCACCGAAGTCCTAACCAAAATCCCTGAGTTTGAGAAAGACAAAATCACCTTTCTAGATGGATATGTCCTTCCTGGGATCATCGAATCGCACGGTCATATCTTGCAGTATGGCGAGATGCTGGAGTCGGTTTCGCTCTACGATGCGAAGAGTATGACCGAAGTGAGGACAAGGATTAAAGAGTTTTTGAAGAAGCATGAAGGTGAAGGGTATGGCACACGTGATAAGTGGGTGAGAGGCATTGGGTGGGATCAGGGGTATTTTGACGGCGTAATGCCTACTGCTGTGAGTTCTGGAGCAATTATCTCATTTAAATCTCCCAGGCAAGTGTTGGTTACTGATAATATCATAGGAAGAGCTGGCAGTCGACCCAGCACTCTCAGATCTCTACATCATGCTCGACCGCGTCGATGTACACTGCGTCCTCACCTCCCAAAAAGTCCTTGACCTCCTCCCAGATCCGCTTCCAGAAGCGCCACCAGGCGGTGTCGTAGTCACTGATCCAGGTCCAGGAGTGTTTTGCGACAACGCAATGGATGTCATCATCTACCCACTTGCTCCCAAACCAGATGTCGCACAAAAGACGAGATGGTTCAAGACTGCATTTGCTGAGCTCAACAAAGTCGGCATCATCGGAGTTGCGGATGCTGGAATGCGGCCTGAAGATGTGAAGATCCTTGGAAGAATGGCTGAGAATGGAGAGATGACGATTAGGATAAATGTCATGCTTGAATGTGCAGAGAGGAATACTTTCTGTCCGGATGAGACGGGGAATTTGAAGTTCCTTGAGGCTCCTGATGGATTGGGAGCCGGCACACTGATGTTGGGTGGAGTGAAGCTTTTCGCTGATGGAGCGCTGGGAAGTTGGGGAGCGGCATTACTGGAGCCATATTCTGATATATTGGAGACGAGTGGGACAATGTTAATTAACGAGACAGAATTAACGAGTGTGGTCAAAGAGGTGAGTTTGCCTCTCGAAATTCAAGGACTTCGGCTTACCTGGTTAGTGGTTTGATGCCGGATTTCAAGTCAACGTCCATGCAATTGGAGACCGAGCGAATCGAGCAGCGGTGGATGCATTTGAAAATGTGCTTGGAAAGGGCTGCGAAGGCTGCAACGATGCACGAAGATTGAGAATTGAGCATGCTCAGATTATCGTCAGTCCCTCCTTTCGCTTGCATCTTTACTGCTGACACAGCGAACAGCATCCAAATGACCAAAAAAGAATCGCCAAAATGGGAATCATCCCAAGCATTCAAGTAAGTCTCCAACTCTCCTGAATGTCCGAATACCTCACTAACATTCAAAGCCAACACACGCAACCTCCGACATGGCCTACGCCCTCGATCGCCTAGGGCACGATCGCCTCTCCCACTCCGCTTATCGAATGTCTAGCCTTTTTCCCTCTTCCTCCTCCACCAAATCTCCCTACCCAGGTCCAGTCCTCGGCTCCGACTTCCCAGTCGAGCCACCTAACCCCTTCCACGGCATGTATGCCGCCGTAACTCGCCTTAATCCAGCGACAGGCACAAGTCCCAACGGCGACAAAGGATGGTACACAGAAGAAGCTCTCAGCGCTGAGCAAGCTTTGCTTGGGTTTACGAGGAATGCTGCTTATGGGTGGTTCAAGGAAGGGAAGGCTGGTGCGATTGAGGTGGGGAATTGGGCTGATTGGGTTGTGGCTGATAGGGATGTTTTGGCGGATGAGAGTGGGAAGAGCTTGAGGGATGTAGTTGTGAAGGAGACGTGGGTTGGTGGGAGGAGGGTGTGGCCTGTTGTTATTGAGGTTGAGGAGAGAGGGAATAGTTGGGGTAAGGATGAGCTTTAGATATTGTTGGTAGATTATTAGATGATAGACCAATTAGAAAGGTAGCAGCTCGCTAGAAAGCGCACAGAAAATGCAGAGATGCAAAAAAATGTCTGAATTTCAGAATCTAATATGGCTCGCTTGGCTTCACATTAGCAGCGGCCAAAAAGGGGCTCGACTGGGAATCGAACCCAGGCCACATGCATGTTTGAATGAACATCCAAAGCATGGATCCTACCACTAGACCATCAAGCCAATTCCTTTTCTTTCTTGTTGGGAAGAGAATACTTATTTAAAATTATATGGTGGATTCGAAGGTGTTTGTTGATGGTTGCCGGTTGAGTCAGGCCGGTTCGGTGGCAAAGTAGCGGCACAGGCGATAGACGAGGCACGTTACGGAAACTGAGACTTACCGAATACCTCCGTCGATGTCCAAAGTGAAGAGATTGCGTAATAAGTTGTGAGTGTTTCTGAATTGAAGATGAAAAAGAAACGCTAGTTTCACGAGAGCTTCTAAAGACAAGAAACAAGAACTGAGAAATTAAAGGGGCATCAGAAGAACGAGTCTTCATATCTTTGTACAGTACTTTCATATTATCATCAACATTACATCCATCTATTCAATCACTCATAATAGCAATACTCCTCAAAACAAGCCGTACAAGCACTCGGCAAACTGTTGCCACTCTTCATCATAATCGCACACCCCAAACAAGTCGCCCACCCATCCTTATCCCCCTGCGTCGCAATCATATTCCCATTAGCAACCATCTCATCCTGTTCCGTCTCACTATACACCAACTGACTGGTCGGCACTCCAGACGCAAACGTATACTCCGCATTCGGTAAATAGACAATGGTAATTTTATCCGTAGCGTTGCAGCCGAAGAATGTTGCGCGGGAATTGAGTCCTTCGGAGATGAATGTCGCAACTGGGGGGATGTAAGGCATGAGGGTCAGATGTGCATTGTTGGTGGCTTGGACGTAGGTTGTTAGGATTTCGGAGCCGTTGGGGTAGTTGGTGCTGAGGTCGGCGGAGTTGTCGTTTACGAGGATTACGGATATGTTGCGGGCGGGTTGGAGGAATGGGAAGATGGGGTTATTTTGGAGGGCTTCGCCGCCGTCGACTAGGCTGAGATGGTCTTGGGCTGAGACATCGTTTGCGATGTTGAAGTAGCCCGTAGGGGATTTGTAGTTGTAAAACGGGTTAGGGTATGTGGCGTAGAGATCGCTGGTTGTGACTTCGTGGACTTGGTCTAGAAGTGCTGCGAGATCTTCTAAGAGGTTAGTGCTGGAATTTTCGGCTGCTGGGACGCTCAAGCAAGCTTCATTGAAGAGATTGCTAGAGCTACCAGCAACGTATCCTAGGTTGTCGTAGTTGGTGGTACACAATCCGGTTGCCTTTCCTCCGTTCATCGACGTGCCAAGATACTCTGTTTTGACAAAGGCACTCACATCGGCATCCCAGCTCCCGAATTCGTAAGGGTGGATCTCGTAAGTAGTGGCATTGGGCCCTGGAGTACACTCTCCTTCCCAGACTTTGGTTCCGAGAGAGGTGATGACTGGGTATGGAACGGAATAGGAAGTGAACATTGATTTTGAGGTGATTCCTGACATTGTTGTCGATACCCCACCATCTGAACCTTCGAGCAGCTGGTAGGAGAGGAGTCTTCCGTAAGCATCGATCAGTGTCGTATCGTAGCCTGCAGCTTCTTTCTCGGCAATATCGGTAACGACTTCGGCGTAGGCGACAAACGCTAGAAGGAACTCCGGATCCAGAAGACTGTCTCGGAAAGCTTCGTGCCATACGTTTTCCAGGAGGTAGGACACCAAGGGATAATTATTGCCAGCAAGGGACGACAGTAGCCATCCTCCTCCTGAGAGGCCAGCCTGATATGTCATGGATTGGTAGAGACCGCTTGTGCTCAGGTTGCTGTCTCTACTATCGAGAGCTTGAATAACACCCGCTCCCGATAGCAGAGATCTGTATCCTCCTCCACTAGTAGTAATCGCAACCTTTCTGTATCAGCTGACTGGTTCATGGCAAGAACGTGAAAGAGAGGTACCGTTGGAAGTTCACCACTAGTCCCAAACCCCGAGTTTGTGCTGGCCAGCCATGACTTGAGGGCAACATCAGCCACTGCTTTCCTAGAAACTCGATATGTCTCCTCATCGTCTGATAGACCGCTGGCAGCGCGAACTAGCGTTTCCGAAGGGCATGTTGACTTTTGTGGAACGTACTTCGAGGCAGCCAGCGCTGGAGCCGCAGAGAGCAACACCGTAAGAAGAAGTGGGGCCAACATCTTGAAATATGCTTGAGGCTTCAAACGAGTGCGCTTGCAACAGACACAAGGAACAAGATTCAAAAAATGGAAATCTGGGTTCTTATGGACCAAACGAATGAACGGCCTCACGATAGGAGATACACCTGCATTAATGTCTTGGATCGATGGTGCCGGCCTCATTGATATACAACCACCTGCCATTTTGATCTTACATCTGCCCCTCTCTGGATCTGCAAGGGCGGGCGGTGCCCGAATAGAAGCTGCACTCCGCCTCATGGAGATCTGAACAATTGAAGTCCCCACGTGCGATTGGCATATCCGTAACGGGTTGCGCAACGGCGAGCCAGTGGTGGTGTCTTGAGGTTGACGATCTCTGACATTTCTTGGGTCCCGGTAGTCTGAGGTAACACTTGTACCTATCAGCAGGTTCTCCAAGCAAACGCCGCCTCATGGCCAAGAGAGCAGCCAGGAAGAGCCAGATATGGAAGCATACAGTCGACAATCGGAACAGGAAAAAAGGAAGGGGAGATTCGTGGCATCGCTAGCCGCCGTTCAAGGATGGGAGAGATACCGAGATGGTGGCAAGATGGTGGCGGGATGGCTACCGAAACCAGCTCTAGGAAGGTCATTCGTCCGCGATTGCTTCTAGAATCAGGTTTTGCTCCGATAAAGCACTTGTGAATACGAAGTAAGCTTTCCTTGGGTTCAGAAGAACGCCTTGCACGTGGTAAAGATGTTTGGCGTTGACGATGTTCGCCGGGTTGCGGCTGTGGCTTTGATGTTGAACAGCCACCGAAGAAAATGCCAACAAAGTCCGGAATCGATTAAAATGGCGACATGCTATAAGGTATCAACACACTCAACCTAGCCCTTGCAATCACGAGTTTTCAGGCACTCACGCTATTTTAAAGAAGCGATATACCCCTTTTACACTACCTAATTGAACTCTTTTGCGGCAACCACTTACGCAATAAACTCAATTATTTTATAAACTAATAATTAATACGCAATTAATACAATGAGATTACAGTTTTTAAAATTATAAAAAGTTGTGAATTAGCTGCGTAGCAATTGCACTTTGCATCGATATCGCGACTTTTTCCAAGTCAATTGCTTAAGCGAGATAAAGCGGCATTCACAGATTTGGGTGTGCTTATGTTGATGCCTTGTGGCCTGTCGCCATTTTAATCGATTCCCAAAGTCCCAAGCCTTTAGAAGATTAGGGGTGTGAATACAGAACTATAGCTAGCCCAAATTCGCAAAGCGGGGTCGTTTTTATCAAGAGAGAGGGGCGTGCCTCTAGCGACCGCCCTTGCCGAGAGACATCTCGGATCTCTCCAACCTCAATCCACTTTCAAAACTATTGAATCTTCAAAGCAACGGCCATGAGATCTCCATGTTAACTACATCTCGGTACCAATATATCTCGAGTGTGTTTGAGCTTCACATGCATCAGTGTTCTTCCTCACAACAGTTTATGTGGTACGAGCCTTTTGATGTTGCTAATTCGCGATCGGACAGGGGGAGAGCCATGAGAGCTCAAGTGCAGCACTTATATTGTGCAACTTGCTTCAACCATATTCCGTGCTTCGTATTACTCATTATCCAACAATTTTAGTCTGTTGATACCAATTTTGATTAAGCTTTCTGTCGACAGGCGCCAAAGAAAAGTCGCATGCACCGAGACAGTGATCAGCCCTGCCTATTCTTCAGAAGCTTTTCGATCTTGAAAGGTTATGCAGACCTCATCTTAGCAACAGGAAACCTCCGTTTAGAAGCTGTCAAATTGAAGGAAAGCCTCGAGCGAGGTAGCTTCTTTGATTAGCGCTTTGAGATGGAGCGTTGAGGACTAGCGCTATCTCTCAGCCTCAAGGCGGGGTCTGTGTTGCACGAAAGGGATGTCGCCTGGGCTTGCAAGAACTGGAACGACTTGATGTCGGGTTTCTCAAATGTCCGTACATACTCCGTCCAAGTCCCAACTCCCACTCTGAAGCACAAGTAAATTGATTTCCAGGATACCCATCAGCCTTCAAAGTCCCATTACTCCACGAAAATTCCCACAACCAAGATCCCACAATCCAGTCCCGTTAACAGCATTAACGACGTAAGATCAGGAAGGGCTTGAGACTTGGAAGACGGGGGCGGAGCTGACGACTGGAAGAGAGAGGAGGATTAGATGGAGGAGGGCGAGGAAGAGGTTGATCCAACAGCCGACGAGGAGGGTGCGGGGGTGTTCGAGGACGGTTTTGTGCCAGAGTTGGCAGGTTGCGGCGAAAAGGGCTCCGGATCTTTGGACGATTGTCAGGCCGTCTCCTCCTGCGCGAGGAAACGCGAGATCAGCATACTTTCTCTCACACCCATATCGAAGAGAAACGAGAACATCAACGACCACAGGGCTGGCATTCGATGTCCGATCTCTAGTCGCCACTTTTCAACCCCAAACCCTCTCACACAAAAACAAACAATATCCTCAACTCCCCACCCAAACACCCTCACCCAACTTTTTATAAATAAGAAATCACACTCACTCGAATTAGCAGCCAAATGAACCAACCCACTGCAGCTTTGCACAAACAAACTAGCGCATACATCTTCCTCAGCACCTTCCACTTCGCAGCTGGCTCCTCCCCGCCCCTCTCTTCTCCCACGCAAATGTCACAGTCCAGAATGCGATTAGGAAATCCTGGACTGTGCCGGGAGTCTGGGTCCACCATGGGAGGGTTAGTTTGTAGGTTTTTGGGATGAGGGTTAGGAGTGTGTCGGTCGAGTTTCCTGCGTCGAGGAATGTGTTTCGAGGGACGAGGGCTTGAGAAGCGGATGCAGTAAGGATGAGGCTGGAGAGGAGGATGAAGGTACTGAGGAGGAAAGTTTTGGGGAGCTGACTTGACAAGGAGAAATCCATCGTGTGAAAGTCAAGAGTTGCGATTTTGCAAGAAGGGAAAACTGCTTCCTCGAAAATCGCGCAAACGG